TTTTGTCCTACTAGCCCAGCACCACCTTTTTTTTTTTTTTTGCATGATACGTGTGCAAAGTGTTCAAGGTCCTACAGGCCTGACTCACAAAAGGGATCACACAAAAACCACACAGGATTTGGGGCAATTCCCACTGAAAAAACTCTGGGATGGAGCTGACTGAATGGAAACCAGGTTTGAATCACTGTGGGGTTTTTTTTTTTCTTCTCCTGATAATCATTTTTAGTCTGTTTTAAAGGGATGGTCATCCTCACCCCACCCAAAATTTGACCAGAAGGGCCCCGTGCTGTGCAATGCAATAGCTGTGGTTGCATGACACCACATTCCAAGGATCCAGCGCCCTACGGATCCAATTAGCCGAGATGATCCCTTTAAAGATCCTTGCTTGGGAAGGAAATCCCATTTGAAATAAAGCAGAAGGATTTAGCTTAACGAGGCAAAGCGGGGAAACAAAGGCAGAAGGACCTGTGGAGCTGAGAGCCCACGAGGCCAAGCAGAACCTGGGAGAGAGGGGCTCTGGGCATGAAGGAGATGTAGGGAAGCTGTGTGTGTGGAAAAGTGGGACACACAGGCTGTCAGAGGGGTGGTTGAGGCTCCCTTGTCCTTGAGAGCGCTTGGAGATGGCTCAGCAACCCTCCCTTGGTGGCCTTCAGGGAGGGGGGGTCTGTCAGGGGACAGGCTGGGAGCTCATCTCTGCTTATTCCTGTCCTCGTTCCGTCCCCTGCTGCTCCCAGCTGCACCCCAGCCATGGTCCATCCTCTTCTTGGCTCTTCTGCCATTTGGAAAGTGCCAGGTCTCTCTCAGCTGATGCAGCCACAGCCCAGCTGCTTCCTCGCTGCTCTTCCTCCCGGCCGGTCCCACGCAGGGGCACATCCTGGGGCACTGCCAGGGGCACATCCCGGGGCACTGCCCCCCTGGCCTGGGGCTCCACGTGCCCCAGGGCCCCCAGACATCGTGCTGGGGACCAGGGTTCCAGCATCACTCGCTGTTTGGCTGCTCGGGGAGGTGGTGCAGACCCATAAACCAGGGCCAGCAAGCAGCCTCGGGACACCACAAGGTCACTGAGCTCCTTGTGCAATGTTTTCATGACAACTGGCCCAAACACACCAAGCCCCCTGCTGACAAAAGCACTCTCTGGCCAGGGGGAGAGGCTGCTCGAAGGAGGATGTCTGCCCTTGCAGCTGGAAGCACAAGGAGCTTCCCTTTCGACAAGACACAACCCCTCCCGCCCCTTCCCGCAAGCCAGTGGCTCTGGAGAAATCCCAGCCCCTCTCTGGTCCATGGGAGGGGGTAGATCCAGTTGCACAATCACACACACACAGTCACAGCCTCTCAAAGCTACTGCCCAGACCCTGAGGGCTGTTATTCTTCCTCCATCTCAGGAAAAGGGATGGTTCCCCCATTAAGCCCGTGTAGGGACACAAAACAAGTGTCCACACCTCCATGCCAGCAGGAAAATCCTCCTAAATCAGCTCCCAGCAGGTGGGATGGGTGAGAAGGAGTCCTGGCATGCTAAGGAGGGTGCAGGCACTGCAGCACCCACTCCTGGGCTTTCAGATCCATGAAACCAGGAGAAACATCCTGCCTGCTGCCTGAAAAATGGGGCCAGAGGCGTGAAGGGATGGTCAGGAGCATCTCCAGGAGCACAGGACTGTGTGGCAGAGGGACAGGAGCCTGCTGCTGATGCTCTGTGTGAGGAGCCCGTGGGGAACTGCACCTTCCAGAGGCTCTGCAGGGTCAGGGGGCAGCTGAGCACTCCACAGATCCATCCTTGGATGCCACAGGTCACAGTCCAGCTCAGCTCCAAGTGAGTTTCTGGGTGAGCCTTGGCAGGAGCTCAGCAGCTGCAGCACTGGATAAGCCTTTGGGTTCATGGAATCACAAAAGCTCCTGAGTTGGGAGGGATCCACAAGGATCAAGTCCAGCTCCTGACTCTGCCCAGGACACCCCAACAATCCCACCCTGCCCCTGAGGGTGTTGTCCAAACGCTCCTGGAGCTCTGGCAGCCTTGGGGCCGTGACCTGGTCAGTGCCTGACCACCCTCTGGGGAAGAACCTTTTCCTGAAATCCATCCTAACCCTCCCCTGACACAGCTCCAGCCATTCATTCTGAGGTCCTGTCACCCTTCAGACCCCCCACCCCGACCCTGCAGAGCAGCCAGGATGTCCTCCCCTCAGGCCCCAGCAGGCTGAGGGCTCACCACGCTTTCACAAACTGGCCTTGGCACTTCCCTCTGGCTGCCGTGTCATCATCTTTAAAAAGGGGAAGAAAAAGTCCTTTACCAGCCAGCTCTGTCTCTCCTCTCCGAAATGTCACCCTGGGTTTCCTGTGTCAGCAGCCACCCAGGAGCAGAGGGAGCCTCCAGCTCTGTCTGCAGCATCCTGCTCTCAACTGGTGTTTTAACCCCTGCAGACCTGGCCCTCTGCCACTGACACCACTTGCCTGAGGCCACGTGTTTAAAAAAAGCCACAACCGAGCAAAAATCCAAACTGTGTCACTCCCTGATCCCCTCCTTCACATGGATTTAAAATCACACCAGCTGATGGAAGAAACTCCCCCCAACCAAACTGCATTTTCCCCTTTCATAGACAGCAGCAGAGATGCAGAGATATTAAGTGACCTGCAGAAGAGCTCAGATTTCATTAACCACCAAATTATGGATGTCCCCCATGCCCCAGAGGGCTGCCAGGCGACAGATCTGTGCCACTGGATCCTCCATCCCACATCTCCTCTCACTGGGGGAGCGGGAGGAACCTCCTTCATACCATGAGACAAGAACCAACTGCAAAACGCAGCCCTGAGATTGAGAAATGAGCAGAACAACACTTCGAGTTGTTTTTTTTTTTTTATCAGGCCCTTTCATTGTATAAATAATTTATTTCAGTTCACAGCATTATGTCTGCCTCTTTAAAAAAAAAAAGAAAAAGAAAAAGAAAAGACAGGAGGAACAGAGACTGATGGACAATGGGCAGCGGGATATCCAACAGGGATGGGAACACGCCAGAGGGACCTGGGGAAATGAGACCTGCTAAAAAAATTCCAGGTCATGGAAACATATTTTGAGAAGACACACAACCTAACAAAGACCTCAGACAGTTTCCCTCAGATGTCCTGCTGAGGAACCTCTTCTTGTAGCCCACCGTAGGTGACGTCTTCACACGGGGAAAAATCAGTGTATGGTTGTGGAACGGGACAGAAATACCACGGAAGCCATGAGCTACTCATTGGAAAAGTCTCTTTAATTATTGCAGAAAGCAGAGCTGGTGGGAACAGCACCAGCACAGCGTCCCACCTGCACCTCCCAGTGCTCTGCCATTTCTCCAAGGGGATGCTCAGCTGGGTAGAACAAACTCCCAGGATATGGGAGCTCTGTAAATACCACCAGGCTTTCCATGCCAGTGTTTGCTAAACCAAACAGCGAGGAGGGAAAACCCACAACGTGTCATTCCTAAAACCTGCTCCCTCTGGAGCGGGGTGGGGGGTGTCAACACAGCTTTCCATTTCACCTCTAAAATGGGTCACTCTCCAAAAAAAGGGGTAATACACGTGGCTTCTGTGGCATCAAAAATAAATAATTCCTTTTTTTCTCTCTCTCTCTCGACGGCAAGTACCAAAGTGTTGGAGGTGAAGACAAAGCAGGGGAAGCCAAGGAAGTGGGAACAGAGCCACCTGCAGTGATGGGACCAGCCCACTCGCTCGGGGCACAAGTCGGGACTCGCGTCGGGAACTCAGAACCCCGCAACGACAGAAGGAACACAACTCGGCTGCAACACTTGTTTCCTCAAAAAACCAAAACCAAACAAACAAAAAGAGCTATTTGGAAGGTGCTGAGCTCGTCCTGCAAGGGGAGAATCAACTCCCCGAAAGCCGGAGGGCATTTTTCTTTTGTCTGCTCGGTGGTTTCCCCTCGGTGCTCAGGGAAGGGGTTTGCAAACGGGAAGGCTGGTGTAAAATCACCAGAAAATCCCGCCTGGCTCAAAATTCAGAGTATTTGGCCCCTGAGGGCTGCCTGCTTCTGCTCTGTGGGAAGCCAGGACCCTGGTTTTCTCCTGCAGAGAGCTAAAACACAGACAGCAAGTGGATTTTGGTCCCCAGTCCCATCCGGGTGCCAAAATGTTCACCTGCAGAAGGAGGTGGCAAGGCCTGACGCTGCCCGGGTGGCTCTGCAAGCAGAGCTTGCCCATATGGCTACCGTGGGCAACGAGGGGCTTTTAACCAGATTTAAATCTTTGTTAAAAACCTACCCCCCCTCCCCAAACTGCCCCCCCCCCCCGTGTCTCATCCAACGCCTCTGTCATTTTCCTTTCAGCAGAGGACTTTTACAAAGCCTCCTGGCCAACCTCTGTCCGTCCATTCTGCCCTGCCATGACGCCCTCCTTAAAACCTGACCTTGGCCTCCCTGCCCCCACTGCAGAGGGGGGGCAGGCACAGTGACCAGAACACAAACTGCAGGGCTTTTTTCTTTTTTCTTTTTTTTTGTTTTTGTTAGATGTCAGTAAAGCCAAACCCCTGGCTTTGGATGCACCTTCCAGCCCTCGCACCCGGATCCCCGCACCCTCATGCCTGGGGACAGCAACACCAGCCGGCCTCGGGGGCTTTGGGCTGCAGAAGGTGACAGCAACCCAGCCTTTGAGGGGAGTGCTCCAGGACAACCCTCGCAGCGCTTCCAGCAGCCTTCAAAAAAAACACCAAACCCAACAACCTCGGGATTTTTTTTTTGGGCTTTCCCCCCCGCCCGCCTTTATGAAACGAAGAGCTTAAAGCTCAAGCACCACTCAGGCACTGTTGCTCAGCTCAACCCGCGCCGCATCCTTCCTCCCACCCACCCCGAAGCTGCCTGTCCTTGCTCTGCACCCTAATGAACAGCCAGGCCTAGGGCGGGTGGGTGTCCTCTACCCGTCGACTCCCTCACCCCCCGACATTTTCTGGCCTGGTGCCCACCCCCCCCTCAGTTTCCAACACCCGCTATCCCACCAAGGCCGACCGCGGGGGAGGGATGCGGGGATGCAGGGATCCGAGGATGCAGGGATACGGGCGGGCATCGGGGCGCAGCTGCGAGACCCCTCCCCGCTGACCTTGCCGAGCCAGAGTGCACCCATACCCCCCCCCAAAGCATCCCCTGCCCCCGAAATGCATGTGGGGGGCTGGCATCGACACCCCCCGCCCCAAAATGCACACACTGGAGACCAAAAGCGCACTGGGCTCCTCTCGAACGCGCTTCAACAGGGTCCTGCCCTGTTGGCCCCCCCGGCACACAAAGGCTCGGTGGTCCTGGAGGGTGGAGCGGGGGGCATCACCCCGGTTTTGCATGTTTCCAGCCCAAAGGAGTCCGGATCAGACCCTCAGGAGCGGGTGGGAGAGCGGAGCTCCGGGATCTGGGCTCGGCTGGCGGGAGCCGCTTTGTTACCACCACTATTGTCTGTTCGTTGGGGAAGGAGGAAAAAAAATAAAGGGGGGAGGGAAATAACAATTAAACCCAGAAGAATCGCTTTGGTTCTGTCTCCCCCTCGGTTCCTTTGTCTGCTCCTCCATCCCTCCCCGCCTCGGCGGGGCTTCTACCGCTTCTTCTTCTGCTTGAGGGACTTCCTGCGCTTGAGGATCATCTCGTAGAGCTTGTCCATGCCCTCCGTGAGCCCCTCGCCGATGATGGCGCAGGCGGGCTGGATGTGGTACGTGGTGGAAGGGGTCAGCTCGTGGAGGGCGAGCTGCTTCTCGATCTCGGCCACCGGCAGCGACTTGGGCAGGTCCTGCTTGTTGGCGATGACGAGCAGCGGGGTGCCCTGGTTCTCCGCGAACTTGGTCACCTTGTGCAGCTCCGTTTTGGCTTCCTCCAACCGGTCCACGTCCACCGAGTCCACCACGTAGATGATGCCATCGGTGCAGCGGCTGTAGGACTTCCAGAGCGGGCGCAGCTTCTCCTGCCCGCCCACGTCCCAGAAGTGGCAGCTGATGCCCTTGGCCGTCCCGTTGCTCAGCCGGATCTTCTCGGTGTTGAAGCCGATGGTGGGCACGGTGTTGACGAACTCGTTGAACTTCAGCCGGTAGAGCACCGTGGTCTTCCCCGCCGAGTCCAGGCCCAGCATGACGATGTGCAGGGACTGGAAGGCGGAGATGTTGGACGAGATGTTCCCCATGGCCACGGCTCACGCCCCGCTCACAGCCCCGCGCCCATCCCGGGCGCCGCAGGCCCGCGCGGCACGGCTCGGGCAAACGGGACCGGGATCAGGGAGCGGGAGCGGGGAACAGAAGCTCGGCTCGCACGCTCGCAGCACGGCGGCGGCACTGAGACGCCCCCGCCCCGCCCTGGCAGGAGGAGGAGGAGAATGGAGGAGGAGAAAAAGGAGGAGAAATAGGAGGAGAAGAAAGAGGAGGAGGAGGAGGAGGGCCTGCGCCGCCGCCTTCCTCCCGCTCCGCCTCCCGTCGCTGCCCGTATCGCGCTCCTGGCCTGCACCGCCCCTGCCTGCACTTCACGTGCAACGCTGCCTGCCTGGCCTGCACTTCTGCTCCTCGGGGGCCCCTGGCAGCGAGATCCCCCTGTGCCGAGCGCTTGGTTATCCTTATGCCCGGCATCATCACTGGCCACAGAAAGCGGTGAAAAACCCTAAAAACAGTAGCCAAGCCACGGTGCTATTCAGGGGGTGGCTGCCCCACCCCTGGAAGTGTCCAAAGCCAGGTTGGACGGGGCTTGGAGCGACCTGGGCTAGTGGAAGGTGTCCCTGCCCATGGCAGGGGCTGGAACAAAATGAGCTTTAAGGATCCTTCCAACCCAAACCAGTGTGGGATTCTGGGATTCTAGGATTATTCATTGCATGTGAGACACGAGGAGGGACCTTCTGCTGCACCAGGCTGAGGGAAGTGGGGGGGACGGAGAGGCTGTTCAGGCACAGCTCTGCAGGGAGCGCTGGCACCAGCGGGGATTTGAGCGGGATGCAGGAGAGCGATGGATGCTCTCTTCCTGGGAAGTGCAGTGCTGGGAAATGCAGCACCCGTGTCCCCCGCAGCTGTGACAGACTCCCGGAGCACAGAGATGCCACGGGAGGAAAAGCTCCCCTGTGCTGGATCCGGGGCAGGGCTGGTGTTAATCCATCACTGCTGTTAATGGATTTTGTGTCTTATATTTTGTAAGTGTCTTATATTTTGTAAGAGTGCCCTCAACACACCTTAAAGCCCCTGAGCTCTCCGTGTTTGGGCAGCCCCCCAGGGCCCACCACACTGTGCCATGCAGTTGCTGTCCCAGCTACTCATAGAAGGGACCTTAAAGACCTACTTCCAGTCCCACGCCCTGCCCTGGGCACAGACACCTTCCACTAGACCAGGCTGCTCCAAACCCCATCCAACCTGGCCTGGAACACTTCCAGGGATGGGGCAGCCAGAGCTTCTCTGTGCCAGTGCTGCTGCATTTATTTCTGACCTTGCTCCTGAGCCAAAAAGCAGCAGCTTTTGGGTGGTTCCTACGACGTTACTCATCCCCTCTCTCCCAGCATTTGTAAAATAAATATCAACTGTATCTGAGAGCTTAACCAGAAAGCCTCAGAGAAAGAAGTGCACTGCAGAAGACAGATACTGCTTTTTTTAATTTAAGGTGCTTTCCCCCCCTACAGCATGCGGTGAGGATTTGTCGGGCTGGAGTGGGATCATTTCTCTTATCCATATTTCATCCCAAGAATGTGTGTTGTGGCCTTGCATGGAGATAAGGCTACACATGCCATCATTAAAAATACAGGCAGCTCCTGTGACCGTCTCTGGAGGTGACACTGGGCACAGTTTTGGTGGAAATCGCCATGTGGTGACAGCGGGAAAAGTGCAAGGAGCTCCATCCCCAGCAATGTGCAGGTGGGAGAAATGCTCCTTGGCACGTGTGAGCAGCACCACCGTCCCAAAATCAAGACACAGGTGCTGGATGGGCTGGAAAATGAAAATATTTTGTGCAGCGGGGTTGTCCTTGGCCGACTGATCTTTGAGCCGGTGTGAGCTCAGGTCTTACTTCGCCACCACGCCAAAGCAATTAAGGTTCCGAGAGCAAGTGGAGGAAGCCGCGAGTGATCACCCGACTCCAGGAGCTGGAGCATTAAAGAGGAAAAAAACCGTCAGAAATAGAAGAACAGTGTCATATCTGTGAGCTCTGCCAGCAGCAGACACGGCACTGGCACCACTCTCATCTCTGCTGCCCGAATGCCTCCAGCAAAAGCTTTCTTAAAGGCTGCTGTGAGGATAATCCCACGGCGAGGGCATCCCGGGCTGCTCCCAGAATTCGTGGCTAATCTGCGTGCAGTCGGGCTGCGGGATAGGAATTTACCTCTGCGAGCCCGCGCTGGGGTCCAGGAGTGCAGGAGTTGCTGTTTCAGCCCTCGGTGTTGTGTCAGGTAGCACGACCCAGGGAATTCCCCCTCTCCCTCCTCCTTCATCCCTGCTGCTGGAGACAGCTTTGAGCCTCGAGAAAAGAGAAACAGGCCACCAAAATGTCTTCCCCTTCCTCCCCCCAAAAGTCCAAAGGGGAGACTTCCCTCCTTTGCACCCCTCCGGTTATAAAAAAAGGCGAGATTAGATAGTCAGGCCGATCAAACCTGCGGATGTGCTCAAAAGCGGCCTTATATGAGACAATCCCAAGGGGATGGAGATAAACAGGAGCGTCTCAGCGGTGAATTATGCTGCAGCTAATGCCAGCTACCCATAAATAAGCTGTTAAGACCTCCGCGGAATATTAAGTGTAGAAATAACAGTGTTAATGGCAGCTGAGAGGAGTCTGCCAAGTCCATTCGGTGGCAAATTTAGGGAGAGGAAACCCATCTTTTCCATACTCTCCCCCCTTCCTTGCTTTTTCTCCCCTACCTCCCCCCCTCCCCAGCCTATCAAGGTTAAGCAGCCAAGGTTAAAGCCAGCATTAGCATCTAAATGTGTGTCTGAGGATGTGACAAAGGGACCGCTCGCTGCTCCCCAACATTTCGCTCCGGCAGTGCGAAGACTGTTGCTGCCATAGTAACTGTTTTCAGACATGGCAATTATTTCTTCCCAGTTCTCCCCCATCCCATCTCCCTTCCCCCAGCTCATCTTGCGCTTCAAAACATCTTTTTTAATTCTTTTTTTTTTTTCGGAACACAAAGAGCCCCGGAGTCCTCACACATCCAGAGCCAACGGAGCGATCCTTCCCGCGCTTCCACGGCCGCTCACGGATTATCCCGAAGAGTGACTTTTAAATCTGCCTCCAATTAGCCCTTCCTCACCCAGGCAAAGCGAAACCCTGGAGCAGCAGCTTGTGCCAGAGGTTTTTGCCGAATCTGATGACCTCGAGAGGGGGAAAATCGGTTTGCAGAGACCATCCCAACTCCTGGAGCATTCGAGATCCTGCCTCCCTCCCCTGCTCGTTCCTTCATAGCGGCGTCACTTGCCTTAGTCCGCTGCCTTTTGTTTCTGCGTTACGAGCAGAAACACCAACCCAAGCGAAGGGAACAGGCCGGGGCTGTAATTAGGGCTGCCCCCGTTCTTGGGGATCGCTGGGATAATTAATGGCATTTCCTCTGGGATGCGGGGACAGCCCGAAGGCTGCGCTGAGCGCCAGAACTGCGGCAGCCGCTTCTGGAATAGCCACTGGTGGGACAAGGCACGGGACTGGTGTCTCCAGCTGGCTCGGAGGGTTTCATGGATGAGTTCCTCGGAGAGGCAGCACTGGCGGTGTAGGAAAGTCTCATCCCGGTTTGTGGAGCCCTTGGCGGAGGCTTTGGGGGTCAGTGCACCTTGTCGTGGTCAGCATCCTTGTGCCCCTCTCCTTCCCCCCTTCATCTGCTCTTCTCCCTTCCGAAGACTTTGCATCCCACTCACCGGATAACGAGGCCAGGCACTGCAGGATCGTTAAGGGCTGAATAGCCTGTGAGTCACAGGGGAGCCTTTTGGATGTCAACTCTGAGGGAAAACAGCATCGCGGATTTAATGGGACCCGTTCCTCCCGGGAAAGCCGGGGCTGCGGGAGGGTGACAGCCCTGGAAAGGGTTAATGGGGGAGAGCAGAGGGGCACAGGGGAATGAAGAGGGACAGACTGAACATTTCACACAAGATTACCCCTGTAAGTGCTCAATTCACACTCCTGCCAGCAGTTTCTCCAGTGGATTCTGGAGAAAAGCCTCACTTGGGTGTTTTCCTGTGCTTTGTCTCACCAGCCAGCGTCCAACCCCGTGTCCCTTGGAGCAGGTTCCTCCATCCCTGCCCCCTCTTTCCCGGAGCACGCAGGCTCCTGGGACAAGCACCAAGGTCTGGAGCCTCAGAGGTGTCTCCAAGAGCTCCTGGGTGGATGGAGGACAGAGGGATGTGGAGAGGGAGGGATGGAGGGGTGTGTGGAGGGGAGACTGGAGAAAGGGATGGAGGGGTGGATAAAAGCAACAATATAGTGGAGAAATGACTAAATCCACAGAGCTCCTAATGCAGGGGTGAGAAATAATCCGTTCATCTGCAGCACAGCAGCTCAGCTCCATATCATGACCTCAGATGCCTCCTCAGGCCAAGCAAAGTCCTCCAAGGACCAGCTTAAAGCCGACTTTACAGCCTCATCCCCAGGAAACACTGAAACAGCCACAGAGGAAAAACAAACTTCCTCCAAAGGTCTGGAAACAGCCTTTCCAAGGCAGCCCAAAATCCATGTGGCCCAGCAGCCAGGAGTGGAAGCAGCTGGAGGAACACGGGGCCAGGGCAGGTGTGGATTAGAATTTTTGGCAAGGTTGTTTTTTTTTTTCCCTCCATGAATTCATGCAAACCTACAAGGAAGCTTTACAGGCTTCTCTCCTTCTCAGCATCCTGGGACAGAATGCCACGGCTTACCCATTTTTGCTGGATAAAGAGGAATCTCCTCGGTGTGAAACTGCCTGGAAATGTCCTCTGCAAACCCCCACGGACCAAGGACAGCCTTGCAGGTTAAAGCAAGGCGAGCACAAAGGGTTTCTGGTGGGTTAGGCTGGGATTTTTACCAAAAATCACTCTTTTAGTGCTATGCTTGCACTGCAGGCCTCACTCTGCCCGTCCCTTTTTCCCTGCCAAGCCGCGAAATTCGACAGGAGGAACAAACCTGACTGGAGCAGACAGGGACAAAAGCAGCAAACTCCTCGCCTTTGTTCCCGGGATTTGCTGAGATGCCAGACGTCATTTTGGC